ATTGTATTATTAATACAATTTGAGCGGCTGTTTAAAACACATATCCCTGTTTGGATAAACCAACACAGAAAAAATTGTCCTCTACTTTTCAAAAAGTTATTGCAATTTATTTCAAAAGCATGACATTATGACAAAGTGAGTGAACTTGAGTTGTAATATATGTGACAGGAGACCTTAGGTTGCTTGATATGTTACATATGTCAGACTTAGTGGAATTAGGGTTTATTTGCTTGAATTGCAAATCTGGCCAGTATGGTTTAGGAACATAGCACAATTCCAGCTCATAGCAATGAGCGCAGCATGTCTGGAGTGCTCTTTCATGTGTTACACTCTTCAGGCCAGGGAATGGGTTTTGCGAATGATTTACCTAAAACTTCCCAGGTCTGTCATGCATGCACCATGTCGGATCATAACCAGGAGCTGTCTCTTTGTAGTAATTCTGTCTGATGTGGGGAGAGCCACGATCCAGGCACTGAAAATTTACAGGGACTGGGAAAGCTTAGTAGCACTGGAGAAGAAGGCGCCCTCTGGTGTTCGAAAACTTCAGAACTGGGAATCGTGAAGCTGGGTTAGATGGGGTTAAAATGCCTGCCTTCTAGAGCCAGGTTAGAGGATGGCTTTTATTCCCTGGCCCTGCCACCGATGTACTGGTGACTTTAGCCGTTCAGAGCACCAGTTTCTCTGTCTCTAAAATGAGGAGGAAATTTCTTGCCTTGTAAGGATGTTTTATGGAGGAGATTTGATACCCATCCGGGTAAAGGCCCTAAGACTGCTCTCTGCACTTTTGGAGGAGAAGCAGAGCCCCCAGGCAGATTCCATCTGGGCAGTCTCAGAGACTTCACAGCATTTTGAGGGCCATGAGGAAGGCACAGGTTAGGTCTGTAGTTGATGAGGCTGTCATCAGTATTAATATTGGGCAGTCATTTGTACCTGCGAGCAAAACAAAACAAATAATAACAGCTAAAAGCTCTTTGGGTAAATTTGCTTTTGTACATGCTGTTTTCCGTGCGAGAGCACTTCCTTGTTCTGATGTAGGGCGTGGAATTCCCTCTGCTTCTCTCTTCTGCTCCCTTCCGCTGTCTCCGGTCTTACAATAAAAAATACAAGCATGGACCTTTACTTGAGAGTGAGCAGAAGGGAATTCAGGTGTTCAGCCTTGAGATTCAAGCAGTAATATTGCTCCCCCGTAACTTGGGGCAGTTATGGCTCAGGTTTGTTGGCACCTGGTGCCGTAGCAGTAGGAAGTTTCGGCTTCATTATTTTGCTCTTTGGTTCACCTGGATCTTACACTTTGCTTTTGCTCCGAGAAACCAGAAACCCTATTTTTTCAGCTTTAATTGAGTTTGTTGGTACATTTTATTTTACATACAGTACAGTTACATTCATTGTTGGGATCTTGTACCTCTACATGACGGGTCTTGGTTCTCATTTTTTCCCCTTGTCCCTGCCCCTCCCTTCACCCCCTCCTCCCCTCCGCATCTACAACCACTTTATTTCCATCTTTTCACTTTATGTCACATTTTTTCTTTTCCCTTTTTACCCTTCCCCTACCCATCCCACCTTCCCTACACCTTTAGCTCCTTTCTTCCCATTTCTCAATGTCAATAATCTTATTAGGATCTTCTATATTATTGCAGATTATTCACACCAGAGAAACTATTTGGTATTTACACATGTGTGTCTTATTTATTTCACTTAGGAGTATATCTTCAATATGTATCCATTTTCCTACGAATGAATCTATTTTCTCATTCTTTATGGCTGAGTAGTATTCCATTTTATAGAAAAACCACATCTTCTATATCCAGTCTCCAACTGATGGGCAAATAGCCTGTCAGAAACCCTATTTTTAAATCCAGTGTGAATATTACTGGTAGGTGAGCCGTGAGAAATGCAACAAAATAGAAAAGTCACCTAGCAAAGCTGTAGCTGAAGAATTAGAGCTTGGTAGTTGCATAGCAAACCGTGAAAGCAGCTCTACTGCCCTCCACTCTAGCTGTGTGAGCCTCCGTTTTGTCCCTCACCCATGCCAAGTGCCGCTCCTTGGCCCTGCCGGTTCCTCTTCCGTCAGGGGCCACTTTGCCCGTCTGTCACCTGGCAGTGGTCTCCACTCACCCCTCACTCTTCTCGGGCCACCACACTCACCTTCTGCCCTTACCTAGCTTTCTTCTGCCACACAGTGTTGCTATTTCTTGACATTGTTGTATCATACCTGTCTGTTTATTTTACTTCTTCCTGCACTAGACCATGAGCTCCAAAGGGTTTGGTTCACCAGCCACTCTGCAGTGTCTCAAGGAGAACTTGCTGTGCAGAATGCACAACTAATACTGGTCAAATGGATTGTGCAGTGCATGTCAACCTCTGTGATAAAATAGAAACAATTTAAGAGATGGAAGGTTTATTTTCTCATGATTTAAAAGGTTTTAGTCCATGTTGCTTGGCTACGTTGTGCAGCACAGTACTCCATGGCAGCAGGGATGTGTAGTGGTGGCCTGCAAGCCAAAGAAAGAGACTGGAAGGGGCAAGCGAACCAACCTCCTCTTCAAGGGCATCCCCAGTGGCCTGCCTTCCTTCCAGGAGGCCCTACCCCGCCGAAGGTCCCACCACTTCCAAGAGAGCCACAGGCTGGGGGACCAAGTCTCCAACTCATGACTTTTGAAGGACATTTGTGATTTAAACTACAGCAGAATGTGTGTACTCCATAACCTGGAGCAACATTTTGCCTGGGTCAGACAGAACGCCCAGTAATTAGAGGAGAAAAGGGTCACATATCTGGCATCACCAGAACCTGTGCTCAGTAAGTGTGCCTGACTTAGAGCGATTCACAGAAACTGTAATTTGCTTCCTTTTGGGCTTGTGATGGGCTCCAACTTCCCTGTTCTTCTGAAGATAGATGTGGCCAAAGGATGTGATTGGCCAATGAAAAGCAAGCAAGAAGGGATCAGTGTCACTTCCAGGGGAGCTCTACAGAGGAGGTGTGCAATTTCTCAGGCTCCTTTCTTCCTGCCATGGCAAATAATGATGTCCTGGACAACGATGACTGCATCAGCTCTGGTCCTTGAGCACAGTGGCACTGGCTGGAGCTCTCTTACCAGCCTGAGCTGGACATGAGCAGGAGGCAGAGCCATACCCTTGTGGTTTTCAACCCTTTGTTTGTGATGTAATGGAGCCCCATCTCATATGAGTTATCCACATTGTCTTATTTCATATTTGTGTGGTCTGTGAGTGTAGTCATTATGATTCCCACTTACACTGTGGAAACTGATCTCACAGAACAATCACAATTGGCCCAAAGTCACTTAACGGCTAAGTGGCAGAACAGAAAATGGAAGCCCAGTTCTGGCTGACCTGGCAGCAGGCCTCTCTTCCACATAAGCTTTCCGACCACTTTTATAGCACTGAATATGTCACAGCCCGTAAGGCAAAGAGGCTCGAAGGCACGACCGTGGGCTTGTTCTGCTCCAGAGACCACTGAGCCTTTTCACAGTCACATGACACGGCAGCAGTGTCTAGGGAAGATCACCAGGATGGCAGTATGGAGTACTCTGATTGCTAGCATGGACGATGAATTAAACACTAGCCCTCCCTCCCCAGAAGGTAATTTGGGTTTGATGACTTTGAAAGGAGAGCTCTCCTTTGGGTAAGCTTTAGTTATCTCCATATAGGAGTTTTGAAAACCCCTGCAGCCTTTCCTAAAAACAGAACAGGTACATTTAAAAGCAAACCAGCAAGCCCATTTTAGCAGGCCTGGCCTATTCTCTTGCAGCGTGCAGGCTTAGAAGAAGTCAGACCACCCGAGGGCCATGGGAGGGTGTGGACAAGAGCAGACAGCAGAGGGCCTCCGGCACATGGCTCCAAGCTTCAGACTTCAGCAGCAACCTCCACCCTGCACAAGAAAACCCAGCACAGGGCTGGAGGGTGGATGGGGACGACACTCCTGTTCCTAAACTTTTGGAACCGACACCCCCTTTTATTTAATCAACCGAGAGGTTGGGCCTGTTGTCATGGCCATCTTGGTGTCCACAGTGGTTTTTATATTTCTACTTAGATCAGTCATGATTTGAAATCAATTTTCAAGTTAGGGGAGAGGGGCCCCTTAGTCCCCAAGCAAGCAGAGATTTGTTCACACATGAAGAAAGCTACTTGTACAAATGTATGATAGTTCATTTCTTACGTTTTCAGGGGAAAATGTGCTCTACAGTACTGGGCTTATTTCAGGATATTAGCTGTAACATGTGTATGAATGTAAACACATGAATTTCTTGGGACCCTGCAAGAATGAACAAGTTTAAATATGGGGTTTAATTTATTTACATTTTGCCCACATCCCAGAGAAGAACAGGACAGGGACAGGCAATTCCTCCCAGATTTTTTTTTCTCTCACTGAGTTTATTGGTACATTTTAGGGATACAGTACAGTTACATTCATTGTTGGGATCTTGTACCTCTACATGACAGGTCTTGGTTCTCATTTTTTCCCCATGCCCCTGCCCTCCCTTCACCCCTTCCTCCCTTTCCCTATTTACAATACTTTATTTCCATTTCTTCATTTTCTCATGCTTTTTTTCCTTTCCCTTATTACCTTTTGCCTACCCTTCCCACTTCCCCCTACACCTTTAGCCCTTTTCTTCCTATTTCACATTGTCAATTATCTCATTAGGATCTAATGTACCATTACAGTTTGAAGGACATGGATCTTTCTCAGTGCCACGAGGCTCCATTTGTTGGCACAGAGATTCTCACAAACCAAGTTTTATTTCTCTCTTAGATTGAAACCTGTAAAACACAGGTTAACCTTTATTCTACAGACCTCTCCTTTGAATCGTAATTAAGATCTAGATTTGGACTTATGAAGGGATGTTCCTAAAAACGTGCCATAAGCCCCAGTTCCAGGGAGCTGTGCCCACATTCCCTGACAGAGAAGGTGGGGGTCATTCTGCTCATGAATCTTAATCTAAAGAAAGCCAGGCAAAGGAAGCCGTTATGACAATGATGGGGGCACTGATGAAAAGCCGAGAGGGGAGAGAACTAGTAATCCCTTGTGTGGCTCTCTGATCACCATCTCTGTGTTCAGGAATAGGTGGCTTTATCATGCGTGTGTCCAAGTGTTCACGAGCGTGTGTGTGCAGACACTCCCTAGTGCTGTGGGAGAGGATTGGAGTCGATTGGAGCTGGTAGCAAAGAGACTGATATTTCTTGCCAAGCTGTGTGTGCCTGAGTTCTGCAGAGTGGGCGAGCCCTGCTGATGGGAGGTGGTTCTCTGCAGGTGGAAGGGACCAGGTGGGGCCCTTAAGATGTGGTTTGTTCATCAGGGAGGAGCCCTCAGGAGTGGAATTAATGCTCCTACAAAAGGTGCACGAAAGAACTCACTACTCCTCTTCACCACATAAGATTTCAGCACCGGCCTGCTGTCGAGGAAGTGGCCCTCACCAGGCATCAGATTAGCCAGGGCCTTGCCACGGGATGTCCTGCCTTCCAGAACCGTGAGTAATAAATTCCTAACGCTTCTAAGCCATCCAGTTTATTGCACTTGCTTGTCCCACCCAGAAAGGACAAGGGCAGGCGGGTTCCAATTTGATGACTGTGTCTTTCCGAGCAAGAAGGAAGGAGATGGAGAGACCAGAAGCGGAGGCTGGAATGGTGCCGAGGAGACCAAAGGGCAGCAGGGATTGCCCACAGTACCAGGCAGTGGAGAGGAAGGACAGATTCCTGCCTGTAAACTTCAGGGGGTCGTGGTCCGGCTGCACCTTCACGTCAGACTTCCGGCTCCCAGAAGTACAAGGATACATTTCTGTTGCTCCAAGCTCTGCAGGCTACGGGTCTGGTGTGGCAGCTTCAGGAAGCAACGTGCAAAGTCATCAGGGTTGGCCCTGGGTCAGCAGGAAAGGGGGCAGATGTGGGATGACAGGTGGTGAGCGAAGGTGGACAGGGGATGTGAGGTGAGGAGACCCTCTGGTCAGAAAGCTGGGGACAGGAGCCAGGGGCTTTACCACACAGCACACTGACTGAGAGGGGTGGCTGCAGGCAGTGGGACCAACGGAGGGTGATGTGTTAGTTGCAGGAACAGCGGGTGTTTACGTGCTCAGGTAGGGTCTGGTTTCTCGACTCCCAACCTCTGTCACTTTTTGTGACACTGCACTTTACAAGAGAGGCACAGACCGTGGCACCCATTTTATTTGCCCTCGGAGCCCCACTCTTGCCCCATCGCACGGTGATGTCTAATTCCCGGTCCTCCGACTCAGGGCCGGCGATGAGCTTGCACAATGCCAAGGTTAAATAATGAAAAGTTTTGCTGCTTCCGTCACAGGTGATGCAGCTGGAGGTGCGTTCTGGAGCCCAGCACCACCGCAAAGCTGTCCAGTTGTCTTGAAGCTGTCACTGCTGAGGAAGCTCAAAGAAGCTCATGAAGAGACCGTAAAGAGAAGCCCGAGTCTACATGAGCAGAGAGGCGCTAGGCCGTTGCAGGCTGCTCCTGGCCCTTCTCTCTCAGCTTGAGCTACTTTGTCTGCAGCCCCAGCCAACCGTGTAGTTGGTGAACTCCAGACAGGTACGGATGGGAGCAGCCACAGGTGGGCGTGCATTAATGACGCTCAGTTTTATGGTGCCTTATTACGGTACAATAATAACTCGGTTGCTTTACACCTTTGCCCAGTGTGACTCCCCTGTAGAATCTTCATGACTCACTACCTAAAGCTCCCCCTTTGCCTGAGACATTAGTCACCTGTTCTCAGCATTTCTTGGCACCCAGAGCTCAGAGTTGTGGGGCCCAAGCTCCACTTTCCTGGGTTCTCTCAGCGCCTTGAATTTCCCATCCCTTTCTCACGCAGAATCCACTGTGTGCCCAGCCTGTAGACCCACGCCCGGCTCAGCTTTCTGCCTCAGAAGGACAGACCACACCCTTCTTCAAAACAGGATTTGTGTTCCAGGGGTGAAGGTTTTATAGTATTTATTTATTTACTGTGACAGAAAGCCTCCCTCCAGTTCAGCACACTTACATGAAAACCCTGCTCATCTCACCCGCTAGGGGGCGTGCCCCGCTCGTCTTTGCGTTCCTAGGTCCCAGCAGCGCTTTGCTAGGGAGAGGCTCTCAGTGGGTGGGAGATTACCTGGTGGGCGAGTGAATGAACGAAAAGAAGCTCCTGGGAAACACGGAGCGGATTCTGAGAAAGGCCGGCACGTGTGCCGCTGCTCCCCGATTCTGCGTGCACGGAAGGTGCAGCTAACGCTTCCAGGATCCTGGAGATCACAGAGGCTGTCTCAGTCTTTGCTTTTTTTTTTAAACCTTAAATTATAATATATTTGTACTTGAGAGAACTAAAAGTGCAAAGACTTTTTTTGTTATTTCAATTTATTAAAAATATTCTTAAAATAGCAGTTCAGTTTCTGCTTATGATTGCTTTGTGCATCACTTTCTTTTTTCTATAGGTTTAGACAAAGTCATTAAATTTGTTTTCAGGTTCCTGTGACTTTCATGTCCATAGATTTTGAGTAAAAAGTGGTACCTCAGTTCACAAGCTTCATTTGTTCCACGATTTTGGCTAAGATGGCTGTGGAGTTTGCCAATGGAAGCAAAGTTTTGCCAAACACTCCCGTTCTCAAATTGAATTGTCCCTGACCGGAAGTGTTCGTGACCTGAGGCGTTACTGTGCGTGCCTTGAAGCTCTGTGGCCTTTGCAGTTGGCTGGAGAGTGGTGGGAGTTGTACCTGAAGAGCCCACCTCCAAAGGGGACAGAAAATGAAGCCGAGTGCGGGCTTCTGGTGTGGATATGGTCAATAACGCCGGCAGTGTTTATAACCATCGTTTACCAGGCTAACAGGATCAACGGAGAAAGGAAATTATCTGCCCGCCCGCATAATTGCACCAATTGCTACAATGCATTAATAGCCCATTAAAAAAAGATCAATCCAAGAGGAGCCTGAAGGACACATATGAGGGGTCTTTGTGATTACTGTCTTCACTTGCAGCCACGTTAGAGCACCTCACTTGTTGAAAGCAGGGAAACATTTCTGATAAATCTTCCTACTGGTCTTCACTTTTGTGCTTTCCTTTGATTGGAAGAGAGCTTTTTCTTTTTATTACTGTCTGGGTTTTGATTATCACGGTGCCATGCTTGGATTCTGTGGAAAGGCAGGAGACATTACAAGTGGAAGAAACATATCCTTTGTTGTGCACAGTCTAGGCACTAGGAGCGCCTCACATCCTTCATGTAACGTGTCTCACCCAATCCCATCTCCCCACAACCATGAGGACAACTCTGTCGTGAGCTGCAGTAGTGAGAGCGCCAAAATACTGTCCCACGCTCAGAGAGGTTGAGTCTCCTGCCTCACAACTTGAGGGCATTCAGATCTAGATCTCTGAGTCTGACTGAAACAAATCTATCATCCTTTATCCAAAGGGTTTGGAGGCAGATGTGTCTTGAAATTCAGTAAGGTAAGGAATGGGGAGTGATACATCTTCTGACTATTACTTAATACTCCCCATGGGCCTGAAGCAGCACCCTGTAATCGATCTCATTAATATTTTAGCAGTGAAATGTGGCAACATTCAAACAAAACGGGATAAAAGAAAAAATACAGAAATGTCATTTGTTCTGTTGCCAAGTGATTTTGCACTAATTAGAGACATATATTTTTCTGCTTTCAGAGATTGTAGATTTCTTAGTTTTGGATAAGGAATTGTGATCCTGTACCAAACTAGCTTCAGGTACCGAGCTTGCATACATTGGTTCTCTGTCTCAGGAAACTCTATAATGGAACAAGCCAGAAATAAAACAAAACAAAACAAAAAGCTGATGCTGTTTATTACTGGCCAGCTTTACGAACAGTTGAGATTAGCCTTAAGGAGCAATTGCAAGAAGAATCATAGCAGCCCTTCACAACCTACCAGGAAGAGAGAAACAAGAAGGCAGGGATAGTCCTGTGGTCTTCCTGAGGACACAATGAGCTGTAACTCTACACTGCAGTCCACAGAGTGGCCATTTAGAGCGCCTCTGAAACGGAGGCTCTGCTTCTCTTCTTAGCGCTCCCTTTTCAGATCACCCCTCTGAGGATTGATGGCGGCATCACAGAGCCACTGGTATTTGTCCTGGGTAATTAGATTGACCCTTAGCAGCAAAGGGTAGTTCAGATGAAATGCAATTTTTAAGTGAAAGGCCAGCTTCTCATTCTGGAATATCTTCAGTTTATTTGGAGGATGAGTTTTCAGTCCTTATTCTATTATTTTAAGGTCCTGTATTGTACGGGATAAGCAGATTGCTTCTGCCCCATCTACGTGACTCTAGATGCTCCACTGCACTTTTGGGGCCGTGTGACCACCCTTTGACACCCTGTAGTCACGACTGGTTGGGTCAGGCTAGACCAATCTCACTTTTCTCTCGTGTTTTATGTCTTTTTTTTTTTTTTTTTT